GTTAGTACTAATTTACAAGAAGAAAAAAAGTTAAAGTTTATATAGCTTTTACAACATAGTAGAAATTATAAGAATTATAAGAATTGTAATAATTGTAAAAATTGTAAAAATTGTAAAAATTATAAATTATACTAAAGTTATTTCTAAGTTAACTCAAAAACTATATATTCTACAATATAATTTATAGTTTGTTTAAAAGATTTAATTAATCTAAGTCTAATAGTATAACTTAAATTTATCTTTAATTAATAAATTTTTATGAAAAATAATAATAAATAAATCTAAATTTATATATAATATAAAAATACTATAATTAAGAAATATGCTAAAACTTATTTTATAACAGAATGATTAGCAAGTTCAGAAAAATAAAGATAAAATACAATTTGCTTAGCTATTTCTTATATATTCATATTTTACTATCTTTAAGATTTTTTTATTTTACAAAGTTTCAAATCAACTTTATTATAAATTTTAACTAAATCTATAAAAACATATAGAAAATCTTATACTCTTTATTTCTAAAAATCAAATACTATAAAAAAATATTTAAAAAATATATTTATTTAATAAATTTATACTATTATACTTAATTAATATAAAAAAAATCTTAAAATTTTGAATTTTATTTACTTTTTTAATAGAAGTTAACTAGAATAGATTTTTATAGACATATTGAGATATACTCTTTCTGTTAATCACCAAAACTAATATCAGAGCAAAAAACTTTTTTACAAAACAAGTACTAAACTCAAAGAAACCTAGTAAAATATTAGTTTAAAACAGAAGCATATAGTGTATAGTCCTATAAAACTTTTAAGACAATAAGTAGCAGAAAGCTAAAATAGACAGTTCTAATATTTTAGCCTCAAGTTTGTCTTGCAGAATATTAAAGTTAAAAAGAAAAAGCTACAGAAGTTTAAAGTTAAGAGATAGAAGAAGAAACACACTACAGTATTTGTACTAGAACAAATACTTTTACACTTACTTATTACTACTTAGTTTTTTGTACTCGTATATTACCTTCAATCCTTTGGATTTTCTTTTTTTTTTGTTTGTAGGGATTTAGCCTACTTTTAAAAAAGGATTAATAATGCTATATATTTACAAACAACTCAAAAATAAATATAATACATATAATTAGACAAGCACAATTAGTAGCGAATTTAGATACCTCCTAGTTGCAGAACAGAAATTAAAAATTTAGAGATATAAAGTATATTATAGTATTAGTACTTTATACAATTTTTACAAAAGTCTCAAGTACTATGAAGATAGTATTTAAGCAACATTTTCTTTTTTCTTTTTTTTTTTCTTTGTTTTTCTTTATATATTTATCATCTTATATATATAGTATATACCATAGGGTAATACAGTTCTTTATATATAGTATTTTTATTTTTTTTTTTTACTATATGGAAGGATATTATCAGTTTGGTAATATTTAACTGTATAGATGAGAAGTCATGATAAGCTAGGTAGACTCATATAATAATACTGATAGAAATAGGATAAATTAGTCTAGACTCTAAGTTGAATTAAATCTACTTTATAGCAAGTTATGAATAGGTACTAGTAGGGTAACTGGTCAAGTTTTACTATTGATGTTCACATATTTATGTACACTGCTTTCTTTGGTTGTTAAGTTAGGTATATAAACTCTTGTAGTTTTATAATTACATTGAATAAATAATAAAGCATAGCTTGCTGAAAAGGAAAAAAAAATGGATTTTTGTAGATTATCAAATTTAAGCTTGTTATAGAATCAATTTGTATAGTATTTATTTTAAGTAATAAAATATAATATAAATATGTATAAAACTATACAAAATTAATTACTTAATTCTTATAACATAAAAATTTAAATCTAACCCAACTAGCTAGCTTTTTTTTCAAATTTCATATATAAAATTTTATAAATTTTTTTTATAAAAAATTTATCTAGTTATTAAAACAAATAAAAAATTTTTTTTAAAGTTTTTAAACTTTGACCTAGTCAAGTTATAAAAACCAATTCATATTTTTATGTGACCTAAAGTAAAAATCATAAAAAATGTTAAAAAAAAAAAAATCTAATAGCCAATCAAATTCACTTAAATTATTCCAGAATTCGATTTCCTAATTTGGTAACTTATCAGACTTAATTAGCATTTTAGCCTGACGTCTATAGGTTAATTGAAAAGAGATATATCCTGTTGTAGCAACTCTTAAATGTGTTTTCAAAGAATTTAATCTTGGTTTCATAAATCTATTTGCAATTATTTGGTCATGATAAACTTTAAGATAAAATGTAATTCGGCATGTCAATACCACATTCCATTCCTATAAGTAGATATATAGTTATGTAAAACAATGATAATAAGATAATAATATAAATTATATACGTAAAAAGGTGTTAAGTTACCTTTTTAGCCTACAAGTCCAAATATGGAATAAAGAAATAACTTTAGCAAATAGCAAAATCAATAATGCTTCTTCTAATTCTGAAGACCTAATTTTTTCAATAATTCTGAGAACATATTGGTCTCCAGTCAGATTTCCAAGTGTAACAAGTATAGGATTAGGCTTTGGTGGTGGCCCAGGATCCTGTCCCCGCTCTTTAAATTGTATAAAAAAAAAATAAATTAGTTTTGTGTCTCAAAAGTTTTATTTAAATAATTAAAGTTAACCTTAAAATAGGTTTCCTAAGCTGTAGCATTATCGTCAGTGATATCCAATGCCTCTATAATATGCTCTCCAGCTTTTAGTGTTTCCATAGTTTGTTTTCCAGCTGAAGTGACTCTACGTTATCTTCAAGTGTCGCTTTTTCCATTGACGTTGTCAGGGTCGAATCATATAGTTCTTCTAACTCTTTCTAACATTATTCTTCCAAAAAAAGCTGAAGCAATTATATTATTAATAATTAATTAATTATAAACCCATGCCAATATTATTTAACTGTCAATTACCTGTTCATCAGTTTGTTCCCACACTCTAATTGATCTATCATGTGAACCAGAAATAAGTAAATCTCCTCGTTTACTTATTGCTAATGCCCATACTTCTCCGTGATGTCCTTCAAGTTTCGTAATATTTTCAAACTAAATAATCGTATAATTAATAAGCTAGTGATAAATAATTGAATATGATTAAAGACTAATGAGAATTAGAGAAATTATAATAACAA